AAATGAAATGAAATGAAATGAAATGAAATGAAATGAAATGAAATGAAATGAAATGAAATGAAATGAAATGAAATGAAATGAAATGAAATGAAATGAAATGAAATGAAATGAAATGAAATGAAATGAAATGAAATGAAATGAAATGAAATGAAATGAAATGAAATGAAATTGTAATTCTAATAAGAATAGGAAAGCCAATAAATAAATATTTCCAACACTTACGAAAATTCGTTCATCCGAAATAGTTTGACAATTAAGTTCTCCAAGCCTTCTCTTTGACAGATAATTGTTCGAAATTTTAATCTTAAATTGACGAAATGAAAAGTGTTACCTTTTCATTTTGAGATTTTTGTTTTAATTAAGCCTAAAATACTTGCAAGAGTATTTTTTATAATAGCTGCTTAGCTCGAGAAACATTTTTAGCATGTAAAATTAACAAATAAACCATTTTTGAAGTTATACTTCTTTAGGCGCGTTATGAAAAAATTATGAGAGTGAAATTTTAAGATGCGCGCGCATCACTGCAACACAAAATTTGGTCGCTTTAGCGACCAACTTCATGCGTTACTTTTGTGTTTACCGCACATCAAGAAAATCTACCAACAAAATAGAATCTCTATTTAGTGGGTGCTAACGACTGCATTGTGAAGGCCTATCAAAAGTATTTATTAATCTGGAACAACGGAACCAAAGCGCGATTCAGGAGACTACAGCGCCATCTCTTGACCATTGGTGTAGTAGAACCAAAAACCACATCTTTATTTTTTGTAATAAAGTAACAGTTATAGGTATTCATATTTATAATATTTATCCACATTTTTCTAGTTTGTATATTCGGAATACGTGTTTGAGTTACATACAAGTGCAAATCACATATGTTCTAATAAATTATATTCAGTAGCGATTTTAATTGAATATTTTGATTATTTATTTACTTTTTCAAATTAAAACTGAACTTTATTGACTGTGTCCTTTTCCAGACTTTTTATTAATTTATTGTAATTAATTATTTGCATGTAATTAAAAACTAATTTTAAACGATGCCAAAGAAGGATAACTTCTCACGCGCCTACATAAGTACACGCACCCATTTTTTTAATTACACCAGTATTTACTGAGTTAAGGTGGAGTAATTATTTGAAAAAAGTATTTGATAAAAAAAATATTATCTTAATCGTTTTCCGAAATCGCTAGTAAAGTTTCTTAGGTAACTGAAAATTCATGGTGTATAATATAAACAGGACACCACTGTTACCAATAAAACGGAATTAGTGAGAGATAGAGAACGGTGACCTTTTATCCCCTTCTAATAGGATGATCCTAAAGTTTATATATGGGAATTCAAATATTTTTAAAACAAACAAGGAGAAGTCATGCAGAAGAAGGGATAGATAAAAGATACCGTCATGAACCTGAAGCACGTGGAAGGCATATTGTTTGTTGATTTTTTGAATTTTTGGGAAATGTTACTGGCATTATGATCTATAAATTCAATATATCCCGCTTCTGGTATGTACATTTCATTGCCACTCGGTTTTCCCATCTCCTTTATTTTGGTTTTATTGTCATTGGTTGTTTTTCAATTACAGAGCATAATGCGACTTAGTGGCGCACAATGCCGAATTAGGGTACGGCCAGAGTGTACTCAGATTCAGATTCAGACTCAGAAAACAAGCGTGAGAAATATAGGGTGCGGCCAGAGTGCACTCAGATTCAGAGTCAGATTCAGATTCTGAAAACAAGCGCGAGAAATAAACAGTGTAGTCTAAGCAGGTTGCCTGCTTTTTCTCGCGCTTTGTTTTCTGAGTCTGAATCTGAATCACGAGTGCACTCTGGCCGTACCCTTCGACTACACAGTTTATTTCTCGCGCTTGTTTTCGAAATCTGAATCTGAATCTGAATCTGAGTGCACTCTGGCCGTACCCTTAAGCTGATGGTTAATTGGAACGTGAATTAGTTTTCAAATGCACCAGCAGAGTGCGCTTAGTTCAGTGTTGAAAAAAAAGTCAATGTTTGTACCTTAATCCGTTTTTATATTTATTTTTTAACACACTTTGAATTAACTTTGATTAGTTATAATTTTTATTATTTTTAAAGCATGTAACTGCTTGATGTTTAAATCTAAAGAAAATATAACTAGAAAAAATTCCACGCGGACCAGGCAGCAGACGGGAGTCGAACCCGCACCCTTCGCAATCCGGGCGAATGCACTGACCAATTATGCTACCGCGGCCCTCACGGACCGCGTCGAAATTCCTTCTAGCTATTCTTAAGCTGCAAGGCAGCGCCATCTCTTCGCATTATAGGTAAACCCACAATGTCAAATGAATACTTTTACTATTTAAAAAAACTTAACTTTGATTATTTAAAAAATAAAACTATAATGAAACGAAAGCTTTAATAATTTTTCAACAATAAATAATATTACTAACGATAACATATAAATAACACATTTCGATCAATGCCAACTTAAAGAAAAACACTTGTTAATTTTCTGTCACTGAGTTGGTACGATTGCACGCATCACACGAAAGCATTACTTTTGAGAGTGCTCGATTGTGCGAAGCGTTGTTGTAGTTGGAACATTCAATGCCGCATAATGCGCTCTAGTGCTGTAATTGGAAAACCATCATTATGAGTCACCGTTCATTTTTTTGATTTGATATTTATATATCGATATATCGCATATAAATATATCAATAAATCGAATAAAAAAGATCTTTGTCAAAACATAGATTCACTCGATATATCGTATGGTAAATATCGAATACATTCGACATATCGATATTAAATGAATATCGATACACTGTGGTGACATAAGGATCATATGGATGCGCTAGCAATGCTAGCATCAACAACTTCTAATACTTAAGTTCGAGTTCGATTCGTTTGAAGTTTGAGTTGAGTATGTCTGTCATTCTCTGTAATCTGTGGTAGTCTGTGCTCTTCTCTGTTGTGTTGTGTTCTGTCTACTTCTTTTGTCAGTATTTTTTTGTTTTCAATGGTTTTCACCCAGTTTTAACCAAATATTTTTAGAATCTTCTTCTATAGTGATTTATTATTTTGTTAGAACTGATAACTATATTGATCTTTATTTTATACCATCAGTGTAAGTGGTACCATAGATAATTTATTTTATTATTCATTTCAGGAAAAAATTATTGAGCTATTGTTGTTTTAAAGCAGTACATAATATCTTCAGTACATAATAATATTAATAACATTACTTACATAATAGAACTCAAGTATAAAAGTGATATCATAAAACAGTTGTCTTTTCTTGTAGGTAGCATAGTTTTAAAGTGATACCTTTCTATTCATATTGTTTGTGTTCTTTCAGGCTTTCTGAATCAAAAATGGCATCTACTACTATGATTGAAACAATCAGTATTGTGAGACCATTGAAGGTAAGGTTACCCTTTCTTAAAAAATTTTCTTACTAAAAATGTTTAAGCAGTGCCTATATAAATCTGCATGTCGTCCTTTGACTAAATAAATTCTGGACTATATAAAATATATGATCTATCTATCTTAATGCTCAGTCGTATAATTCTAATATTGGGGTTACACATTTTATAAGTTCAATAATTTTAAAATGTCTGGTGAAAAAATAGTTTGTGTCATTTGTAACATTGTCCTCCTGGAGAGTTGTGGGAGCGGGATCACAAAATCGAACCTTGCGTTTCAAATGGTCTCAGAGGTGCTTTATTGGGTTCAGGTCTTGACTTCTTGGACACTGCATGATGGAGAACCCAACCTCTTGAAGGTAGTCGCTTACAATTATTGCAGTGTGAGCATTATCGTGCATTAATGTGAACCACTCGCTAACAAAACTGGCATGGGGGACCACATGCTCTTCCAGGATCTCTGTGACGCACCGGTTAGCAGCCAGTCAACCCTTGCCCGTGAGCACCTCTAGTCAGGGAGAAGCTTACAAGGCCTGTTCTGGTTCACCATGTCTTCTGTACACTCTTCTGCGTATATCGTTGGGGAAAAGGCACACACTCGTCTCGTCTGAGAAGAGAACAGCTGGTCAAGGGTCCAATTGACGTGGTCGCAAGAAATTGTAAGCAGGCTCGCCGATGCTCTGCGGTCAATTTTGAACGCTATCTTCTTCTTCCTATTCTTCGCCTTCGTCTAACCGTAGAAACGCTCACGGTTGTTCTGCGAGCTGTCTGGAAACTGCTGTTGCAACTGAACAGCATTAGAGAACTAATTTCTTAGAGATATCGATACAATGAATCGGTCGTCTCCTAGATGATCGCCGATACAGACCCACGCCTCTGGACATGGCCATGGGTCTCCAGGAATCGCTGGTATACTCTTCGAACCGAAAAACAGCTCAAGTTCAGTTGCTGAGTGACATCACACTGCCGCATCCCTGATTGCAGTGGTGCAATCACTTGAGCAGCTTCACCAGCAGTGGTATCCATCTTCAAGGTGTTTTTTTTTGTGAAAAATCTTCTCGTGTGACCCCTTTAACGGTTGGATAGAGAATAACCCCCATTGAACCAGTATTTACCCGTTTATACCCACTAAAGGTGGTATAAACGGCTTAACTAGTGGCCTTTTTAAGGAGCAAAATTGGCATTTTATTTTCAAATCACATTTGTGGTATCAAGGTTTTTTTAATGAAATGAAATTGTTTTATTTTTTTTTAATGGGCTTTCAAATTAAATTAATATTGGTGGGGGTACATGTGCGTGTTAATGGTTAATAATTCTTGAAAGTTATTTTCGCGTAGGTGCGATTTTTTTGACGCCGAGTGTAGTTATAAAATATCATTCATGTGGTAGGTATTTTTTTTACTTACTTTCCAGCATCAGACTAGGAGAGGCAGGGAAAAGCCGATATATGGTGGCAGTTTGTGAATACCTATCACGCGCGTGAGCCGAGCTGGCGAACGCACGCAGTTGTCACTACCTACGCATACGTTATATTCGCGTGGCGTTATAGTGTTGATTTATCATTTATTTTATTTATAAAGTGTAATAATAACAATGGACGAAGAAGAAGTAAGTGATTCTGCAATTATTGATGAATGTGAGCGAGAGTTGCAAGGCATTTCAGATGAAATTATTCATAGCGAGTTGTGTTCTGACATAGGCAATTTTGACATCTTAAAGTCAAAGGAAAAAAATAAAAAAAGAATGCGAGAGAGTGAAGGCAGCAGCGAGGATGGATTCACAACGATTACAAAAAGAAAGCCAAAGAGATTAATAGTTAGGAGTGACACGACCACCGACAATGAGACGAATTTGGACAATAATAATACTCATTCCGAATTTATTGAAGTTAGCTTGTTTTCGATAAATCCACTCCCAAAACAAATGGCACTAGCCAGGTTTTTTAGAGATGAAAATATCCTAAAAGTTTCGAAGATTAAATACAAAAGTATATTTAAAGCATTTATTCAATTTGATGATAAGATGCAAGCAGAGAAACTTGTATCGAATAAGAAGTTAGTAGAGAAGGATATCAGAGCCCAATTTACTGACCAAGGATACTTATCGTACGGAATTATCAAGGGTGTTGATTTAGATATAAGCGAAGAAGAATTGGTTAAAAATTTGGATTCTCCCATCGAAGTGATTTCAGCGAAAAGACTAAAGAGGTTACATAGCGATGGTAATTGGGTCGACTGTGAAACGGTAAGGCTATGCTTCAAAAGAACGATAGCACCTTCTCATGCTTACATTTATAAATGCAAATTTGAAATAGAAAAATACGTCTTTCCTGTAACTCAGTGTTCAAAATGCTGGAAATTTGGTCACATTAAGAAATTTTGCAAATTGATAAAGAATGTATGCCCCAAGTGTGGCGGCAGTCATGTTAATTGCGAAATAGAGGTATTTAAGTGTCTGAACTGTGGAGGTGATCACATGGCACTCGATAAGAAATGCCCTTTCTTCCACAAAGAAAAGGAAATTCGTTTAATAATGAGTAAACAAAATAAAACAGATAAAATGGCATTAGATACTTACTTACAAAATCAAAATTCAAATGAGACATTTATAGAAAGCTCTATCCCTTTTAGTATTGTTAATAATAATGTATCGACGCCCCCAATAATCACAAGTAAATCCTATAGCAGTGTTGTTAAAGATAGTTTGATTAAGCACTCAAATGGAAGTAATGATACTAACCAAGATCGTACTGAAAATAATACTAAATTGAAATATGGTAAAAGAAATGAAAAAAAGAGAAGAGTCTCAAAAATCAGACGGATGATAGAGATTCGACCATGGATTTTGAAGAAACAAGTAGTGAAACAGAGGATAACCCTGCTGTAGACACGCAAAAACGGAAAAAGGAGAGAAGATTTGATTTATGGAGACTACTTTCAAATATGAAGAGAATTATTATGTGTGAGGAAAATTTTGTAAACAAGGTGGTGTTGATTTTTAAAGTTATAATTGAGGAGCTTAAGCCGTATTTTGAAAATATTTTGAGTGGTATTAGTTTATCTGGAACTCTCTTAAATCTAATTAATGGATAAGGTTAATTATTTAAAAATATTCCAATGGAACTCACAAAGTTTGGTACCTAAACAGATAGAATTAGATTCTTTATTAAGTCAGGAAAAAAATCATTTAGCTGTGGTTACAGAAACATGGTTGGACAGCGATAAGACTCCTTACTTTAGGGGCTACAATATATTTAGGAAAGATAGGTTTGATGCATATGGGGGAGTTGCTGTTATCGTACATAACTCAATTAAAGCGCAGATTTGTCGTATAAATGATGTGAACCCAGGCATTGAAGCCATTCATATTAATTTGTTAAATGTTGACATTTTGAAAAATATTATTGCTATTTACTGCCCTTCTTCGGTACATACTCAACAATCGGATTGGGATAAAGTTTTTTTTTTAGTTGCTACAAAATCTTTAGTTTTAGGTGATTTTAACGGCCATCACAGTAATTGGTCCTACAAAACCGACCAGAGAGGTATACAAATATTTGACTCGGCCTTAGAGCACGGTTTCATGTCGCTAAATAATGGTCAATGTACAAGAATGAGGTTAGTTAACGGTATTTTACAAAGTTCAGCTCCGGATATAACATTTGCATCTACAGACATTTGTACTAATTTTGAATGGCAAGTATCTAATGAAAGCCTAGGAAGTGATCATCTTATAATTAAAATTACAGTAACACTTAGTAACTATAGAAATTACATAAAAAGACGCAACTTTAAGAAAGCTAATTAGGTGAGTTACCGAGATGACTTGACAGAGTCCTTTTTCCTTTCCGACTTTACTAACTGTCAATCTTATGATATTCAGAGCTTGTATGACGGTTTTCTTGATAAGATTTTAATATCCGCACAAAAAAATATACCAACTATAAAGATTTGTACAGATCCCTCAAATTCATTTAAACCTAAAGAATACTGGAATCCCACGTTATCTAAGTTAGTAGCAGAAAGAAGGTTTGCATTAAAAACTTTCAGAAAGAATCCCACCCCCACAAACCTTCAGAAGTTAGAATTAAAGGTAAAAATAAAATAAAAATGAATGTAAAAATCTATTGAAAAAAGCTAAATCTAACAGCTGGAAGGAATTTTGTGTTGGTCTTAATGAATCTATCTCGGTCACAGATATGTGGAGAAAGATGCGTTGGTATAAAGGTTCTCACCAATCACAATTTACCGTTTCCGAGGAAAAAAAAACAGTTATTAAAGTCACTTACTGCAGACTATGTTAGTAACTGTCCACCTACATTTAAATCTTATAATGAGTTACTTCAGTCTGTGTTTACCTTACAAGAATTAGAGAGCTGTATTAAAAGGAAAGATACTTCTCCAGGGTCGGATGATATCACTTATTCCATGATATTCAACCTACCTCAAAGTGGAAAGGAATATTTACTGCAGTTATACAATACTATATTTAGCTTAAGTTTTATACCAAAGCAGTGGCGAACTATTCTTATTGTACCAATTCCAAAAGCTCACAATAATAGTGTTGATCATGAACCTAAATTAAGACCTATTTCTCTTATTTCTTGCTTGTGTAAAATCTTCCATAACATGATGTGTAGGAGGATAGAATGGTATGTCGAAAAACGTAATATTCTTTCCTCTTGCACAACTGGTTTTAGAAGAGCTCAATCTTGTCTGGATTCCTTAGCGAGACTTGTTTCATAGATACAATTAGGCTTCACTGAAAATAATCCTACTGCTGCTGTTTTTTTGGACATTGAAAACGCCTATAACGACATTTTGGTTGAAAAAATGGTCGAGATCTTGGACGATATTGGAGTCGGTAGGCATATCTGTAGTTATTTGTGGTCCTTTTTAAGTAATAGACAGTTGATGATCAAAAACGACCAAAACAGTATTCCTTATACAAGATGTACCAGCAGAGGCCTAGCTCAAGGAGATCCTTTATCTCCACTGCTGTTCAACATTGCTACTGTCCAAGTATGTCGCTCTGTGAATAATGTTAATATTGCACAATATGCAGATGATTTTGCTTTTTACTTAAGACACAAGGATTTGCATGTTTGCGAAAATCAGTTACAAAAAGCCATAAACGATACTATTAGTATACTAGATGAAATTGGTCTTCATGTATCTGTAACTAAGACAACTGCTTGCGTCTTCAGCAGAGGTTACAAAAGGAGGAAGATAATTTTAAAACTTGGAAATACTAAATTAACGATGGTTGATAATGTCAGATATTTAGGTCTATGGTTGAATAAAAATCTAAGGTGGAATAAACACTTAAACGAAATTGCTGAAAAATCTACTAAATTTCTAAATTTGCTAAAAGTTTTGGCTGGCCCGGCTTGGGGTGTACATCCTAAACACTTGAGTGTTATTTATAAATCCTTGGTCCGCAGTAGGCTTGATTATGGTAGTTTTTTGTACGATATCAGCTCAAAAACTCAACTTATAAAATTAGATAGAATCCAAAATCAGGCCCTTCGAATTGTTGGTGGCTTTATAAGGAGCACTCCTTTACATACGATGGAGAGTGAATTATGTGTCCAACCACTGTTTATTAGAAGGTTATATTTAGCTTATAAGTTTTGTGTTAAAAGCATGTCCTGGGAAAATAATGACACCATTAGAATACTGAATGATTTAAATGCTGTTATCAATGAAGCTTACTGGCAATCTAAAAAGAAACCCCTGCTTGTGGTCACCTATAATGAATGTAAAGAGTACAACATTAACACCTCAAGTCCATTAGAAATGTTTAAAATGTCCATTTGGACTTCATACGTAGATGTAAAGAATATAATTATAGATTACATGGATTGTGTTAAGAAAGCCAAAAACAGCTATTTTCCCTCGCAACTTTATATTGATGCTATGATTGAATTGAGAGAGAAGTATACAGGTTGGACCCACATCTTTACAGATGGTTCCAAAGGGATTCTTGGTGTAGGCTCTGCTTTCTTTGATGTAAAGGGAGTCTCTGCTATGTATATATCAGCTACTGAAGTCTCAATCATGACCATGGAGTTAATTTTAGAAGCCATAAATTATATTGACGGGTTAGAAGAACATCGGTTTGTTATACTGACAGATAGCAAAAGCGCCTTACAACATTTAGCTCGATGCGCCTCTGGGCACAGCAGAGGCACACCGATAGCATATTCTATTTTAAGCAGGATCTATGAAATCAATGTGCGTAATATTACTCTGAGATTGCAATGGATTCCATCTCATGTTGGCCTTAAAGGAAATGAAGAGGCTGACAGACTGGCGAAGTTAGCTACCAGTGAAGGGGTTAACTCAAATATTTTACCATTTTATTCAGAGCTTCTAGGAAAATTCAAAAGAAAATGTTTTGCAAAATTTAAAGAGTATTTTGACGAGCGAAGTAGGGAAAAAGGAATCTGGTACAAGACAATCCAGTGTCAGCCTCTGAGGATTCCTTGGTTTGTCAATTTGAAATGCAGCAGAAGGTTCATTGTAACTGCTTTAAGACTTCGTACTGGACATTATCCATCCAGGAAATATGGTTTCCTCATGAAAAAATTAGACTCTCCTAATTGTGAAATTTGTGGTACAGTGACGTTCAGCACATGCTTGTAGAGTGTACTAAGTATAACAATAAGACAATGTCATTATTGCAAAAACATAATATAAACGTGTTCGGTGTAGGTATATTCGCAACAATATTGGCAGATTCGCAGTCGGAAATATTCAAAAGCCTTATATATATATTTTGCAACAATGAGTCGTCGTAGTTTTATATTAATTTTGTAATTTATAATGTTAGGATATGATGGGGCTGGCATATCTTTATAAGGTAAAAGCCTCTAAATAAACAAGATTATATAAAAAAAAAACCTATCAGATCACAGGCCTGTACCAAGCGCTGTCTTTCCACCTTTCTAAGGTGAACCATCTCAATTTTGGAGTTATTTGCCTGCTGCTGTTCCCTGGATACATACAATCTTGGTCAATTCAAATAGCAAGTTAACACATTCCTCCTTGTAACCTTACGCCGCGTGGTCGTTTTCATCAGGTGGCACGTTTTATAAGATCGTTTTGGAGTAATATGGACTCATACAAATTGTGTTGTAAACTTTTAGTAGCCCCCCTGCAAATAATAAATTTTTGGAATGCTTTATTTATACCTTTAAAAATATTAATATGGATATAAAAAGGTGTCCCAAATGGAATCACATTTTTAATAAATAAAAAAACTCCGAGAACTATAGGAACGGTACCCAATCTAAGAAGGGACCGCATGTACTTCCACATTGATTGAAAGCAGCCTCTTTAGAAGTTTTTTTTTTATGGTTTTCCTTATCATATGCTTTGTTTATGACTTTATGTTGTTGTATACAGCATTCAACTATGAACCTTAGCCAGGCTTATTATCAGATGAGTTGTGTTTGTGTATGATGTACTTATATTATGTTATGAAGCAGTAGATATTTAACATCGTTATTGGTAGTCATATTTGTGTTATATGATACTGTTTCATTCACTGCGGTTTACAGTTTTATGCTTTTAACATCAATGAAATAATTTTACAATGTAAATTTTTGTATTACGTATTGTTTATGTTAGGACTTGTTGTACTCACTAGTATTTGTAACATAAAGGATTATATCTTATAGCACTATAACTGCATATTGTCTTGATCTAATTTAAAATAACTATACTTACTCAATATATTTATATGAAAACTAACAAGTGCGCGAAGCCTCCAATTGGATTAATGTTGGTAGTTCGCGTGCCAGTGAAGATTGGTATCGTGATGCATACGCACGGAAATTTAACTGCGAGCTACCTCTGGCAACCAGGGGAGTTCGCTCGACGTATGCTAGGCGAGCGGCCTTCCCCAGTACCGCCCACCAGGGAACTCTGGCCATTGCCGCAGCAGCCCTTCAGTATCAGCACTTTACACGTCGCGTACATGCAAGATGATCCACTGCCAAGGAGAGCAGCCACGCTACCAACGCAGCCTTATTCACCCACCACTGTCCCCATTGAACAAGAATTACCCAGACCACGAGTTTGTACCGTCGGGACGAACACAGATCCGCCGCTTAGTATCATTACCAAGCTAAGGAATTTTTTCAAGAAGCAAGAAGAAGTACCAGTCGGGCTACCACCACCCGGTCGACTTACGGCTGTGCCCAGAGAAGTAGCATTAGACACCAAAGAGGAAGACAACGCTGCTAAGAGAGCATTTAAGGGTGTGAAAAAAGCAATATCTGGAGCAAAATATCGTATCGCACCAGGAACTGAGACTGTAGAGAGCCCCAAAATAGTGTATAATATTCCTAAACCCGGAGATCGCATGACCACAACTTTCGGAGCACGGGAATCTAGAAGATGGAAGTTGCCATCGAAATCTGCATGTTCTCGTCGTCTTCGCGTCTTCAGCGCATGGTGTGAGCGACGCCCGCGTCGTCCTCCTAGACGGCAGTCCCACCCGCCGCGCCTTCAGGTCACTCAGGTGTGAATATGACGAACATGAAGAATTCAGGATTTTTATTGACAAAAGTTAGCATATGCTATGTTTGTTATTTTTCGATTAACTTTTACATTGTTGTGATAAATGCGTAAATGACATTAAAGAGCGCTAGGGAATGCCTTGTTTTTGTTGTAGTGCGATCGAAGTTAAAAGTAGCGTTTTGGCTAATAAATGTGTCCTCTCTGTAATCTGTGTTTTGTTGAGCGCGGGCGGGCGGGTCGACGGGAGACTACCGGGGCGGGCGGGGTTTGAGTCGGGCGGGCGGCGCCGGCAGTCCCGCGCTAGGCGCCGCGTCGCCCGGTCCGTCACCCTGATTCCAGAGGCCCGCCCTCCGAACGCGTCCCATTCGCACTCATTTATCCTTACCGCTATTCCCAAATCTTTTATATCATAGATTACTTTGTATTACAACAGTGATCGACCGCATAAAATTCAAGATCCACTTTGTGGGAAGCTCGGTAATAGCAATTATTGTCTGGAAGCACAAAACTGTCAGAGACGCGAACGCGACCCAATGCGCAATTCTCACAAACGACACCAAAAAAATTGGGGCGAAAAAGTATTTTGTTTTATGACCGCGTTCCAATTTGTATTGATGCGATTTTGTGAACTAATACTGACTGGGAATATTTTATATGATATTTTGAATTAGAATCAGAGTTAGCTATTTGATACTTGAACGTCTCTGTCAATATAATGTTCAAATATGTTAAAAAAATATAATGTTAATGGTAAAATAATAGAGTATGTGAATATATGTTCGCTCGCATCACACATTACATATTTGTAGTAATAGGATATAACAAATGCAAAAATAATATTTGTCTCGAAGACCTATAATTAATCTGTGGGTTTCTATTTCCATTTAGACTTCATCATAGAAAGTAAATATTTTGGATACATTGACGATTAAAGACACATCACATATTTTGAATTATGAGGCTCTTCTTAAAACTTAAAGGTCTAATAATCAGGCCCTTGACTGAGTTATATTTCTCAAGTAAAATCTTCTTTAAATACAATTAAACATAGGTAGAATTATGATTTTTTATTAATTCTATGTAGTAAACTAACTAAAGATTTTACTAAATTTATCCCACTAGTTTGTCAACAATGCCCAAGAGTTTGATGTTAGATGTTTCTTTTTCTTGCATACCAGCAAGATCTGAACGAACTTCCCTCAGCGTTTTTCACTCTTAGCTATAACGGTCTTGAAAAGGCATGTAAACCTTTTCCTTCAGAGCCGGCAACGCATGAGTGGTTCCCTTGCTGCAAGTGTCCATGAGCGGTAGTAACCAATTCATCAAGTAGATTGCCGGCTCGTTTGCCAGCATAAAAATAAAAAAAAACACCGTATTCAAAGGTCAGGGCCGGATGTCAGAGGTGTGGGAGCCATGGGGCAACGAAGGTGTGGGGTATATATGGGTGTGGAAATCTGGAGAGCCTGGGCCACAGCCCTGCCTTAAATCCGGCCCTGCCAAAGACATACAGTGAACACATACACGTTTATTGTATACGATTCTTTAAATCATTTATTAAATAAAAGTCATCCAAGTTGATACGATTAAATAACGTAAAATAGATCCTCTATTCTTAGATTAATTAATTAGATGAGTATAAAGCATCTGAACAATTTGGCGATCAGCCACTTTAGGGTGATAATTTTGTTCATTTAAGTCACAAAAATTTTAATACTTTCCTCCTCTGTATGAAAATACAATGAAATAAATGTTCAGGTATTCTAAATCAGAAAAAAAAACTTAGAATAATTAACTTGATAACCCTCTAATATGTCAAGTGATCCAAAAGACAAGGTCAATTTTATTAATAATACTATAACAATAATTATTTGTTTTACATAAACATAAGACGTCCACTCTCCACTACCTATTGTGTTTTAGGTCTTATCTATATACATAAATATTCATTGTTTGAATTAAAACATATTGTACATTTAAACAGATGAAACATTAACGCTGTTGCTAGTTTGTTTGTCTTCCTATCCATCAAAGGCACCTGTAGAATGTTAACACTTGGCTTTGTTTGATTATCTATTGCATTTCGTTCTTTTGTTATTTCCTTTGTACCATTTTAAAGAAAGGATTCTTGAGCTATTCATAAACTTAAACTAATGTTATAACAGCTAATGATTGTTGTTGTTTCGTTGAATACTTTTTGGTTGTATTTACTTGAGTATATATAGGCTGTTTATTTATTTTTGTGCAGATTGATGTTACTTATAATATAACAACATGAAAATCTGTTCAGTAATTTTTGACATCATCGTTTTTATAGTTATCATAAACACCTAAATTTGAAATGGGTGTGCATGTTAAAGATATTCTATTTTTTGCTATATCCTGGAGTGCTGGCTGAATGGCTGGTCAATATTATTATCTCTCTACTAAATTTCCATGTCAGAACATCCGTTTCTGAAATTGAAAAAAAAATGGAAAACTAATTAACAAAAAAGTCTATTTAATATGCATTAGACTTTTTAGACTGTTACGCAAGTTATGTGATACGATGTTAAAGATCGTACCAACACGATTCACCTTATTTTCGTTTAGCGAGTTTTAATGTCGCCAGCATGCGACCTCAATCGGTGTCTGTTCATATCCTACCTCACACCTCACAAACAACACGACTGTGACCTAAATCCGCGTGTTATAAATCACGCGGAAGGGGTAGCACTATCTAAATGAACCTTATACATTTGATGGATGAGAGTCAATTATTGCAGGTGGCATTGATTTATAACTCAACTATATTTACAACTTCTCATTAAGGTACAGCTCCGATTGTACGTCCTTCGAAGTCAATTACTACTTGATTCTATTTATTGGGAGTCGACCAGTCCAAGACTGTGATTAAATTTTATTAACGTAATGAATGATATATCGGAATAACTGTTTTTTTCTTTCACCGAAATTATTTGAGGAATCTTTGCGTGGTCAAAGTCATAAATTTTTAAAAACTTACCAAAATTTGTCGTACTTATGTCTGAAATGGTTAAGGAGGACCAGAAGCCTAATATTGGCATGATTTTCTCAATCACAGTATCTTAAAGTAGGGGTCCGTAGCAATATATATATACTTATTTGTGAATCAACTCGTTTGCTTAACAACTATAGTTGTCAAATATATTCTCATCCGAATTTTTTTTTATCCCAGAACTCCTGAGTGACATAACTTCTCATATTTACTATCTTTCTTGGGATCCTGTCTGTTTTTGGAGGTTTTCGATCATAACGGAACGTATCGTGCGGTGGTGAATCTCGTGAGATCTAAACCCCAAATTGGAGCGTACCGTGTGCTGCGATATTAGTTGAGGGAGTGTCCTCGGTGTGTGTTACGGTGTGGCTGAGGTGGTGCACGGTGCAGCGGACGGCGGGCGTGGCGCGGCGGTAGCGGGCGCATGCAGGGGCGCGCGGGCGCCGGCCCGGGCGGGCACCGCTCTCACCCGCGCGCCCTCCCGCCTGTGCTCCCGCCACCGCCGCAGTTCGCCACTGAACAGGACGAGATGCCAGCCAATCAGATCGCACAGGTGAATCAGCAGTGCAATTCGACTACCTTGTCTCTACATGAATTTTCCTCTAGGTAACAATTTATCTACGATACCACACAGGCTGCGGCGAATTTTATAATTTGGCGCTCCGGGTCACCAAGATTGCCGCCCAATTTTTTTTTGATCAACCGGAATAAGCGCTAGCGTTGCCCATCGCTGCCCTTCGCAGCCTACCGCCCCGGGCCATGGCTCTTTGGTCTTTAGTTAAATACGCCCCTGCACACAAGTCACACAGTTTCAGCAGCCCTGCGTGAGATATAGTTGGAAAATCAGTACTAAACAATAGAACGATCGCTATTGAACCTCAAGCACATTAATGCATGTTGAAAGAAGTGTCTACCATTGATCTAAGAAAATTTAAAAGGCATTCACAATATTATTATACATATCAGCTGATGGCATCTACTTAATTTTACAGAAAATCATTTGGCATTCAGTCATTCATCAGAAATTAAAACTCATATTTTTTTAAGCCAGATTCATCTTAGGTATAAATTTTATTTCCACAATAATGTTACTGTTATTTATCTATTATTATATCAGGTGACTGGCAAAATTTTGGTCACAACACAAATCTTACCTAAGCCACTGACCACAAACACCGTTATACTTAACGAAAATAAGCAGAATATTTTTTTGCCAGACGTAAAAAAATATAATTAATAAAATTCTGCATTTTTTAAAGTATTGTGAATTCGGGCATATAAACGTTCAACCAAACAACGATTATACTGAAAAAAAAAATTGCTTTAAAATTTTGTGATTTAACAGTAACTAGGGACTTTGTATTTGATCTGAGGGGGGCCCCTATCGATCGCGGGGCCCTGGGCACTTGCCCAAAGTGCCCACTGGGAAAGAGGGGTTTGGCTGCAAGTGACTATTGGCAGCAAAACAACCTTGATTTTATATAAAAAAAATAGTAAAATCGGAATCAGTACAATCAGAATCACTAAAAACCAGAAATCGTCAAAAATTATCTGAGCTAATGATAATTCAATACCCTCTTCTTCCGATCTTCGGAAAGATATTCACGAACTTCAAACACAATTTGCTCAGGTAATTTATCAAAAATGCTATATATATATAGATATTCGTTGATATAAATACGTATATGAAAGAATTCAAATTAGAATAACATTTTCGGATAGAATTACATGCATTGCTTCATTGAAATTCACAGTAATACCTTCTTCCATTTAAATTGTACGAGTGAGCTAAAGAAGCGTGCGCGAGTATTTAGAACATCTAAACTAGATTGCTATATTGTATGAAGCGGAAATTGGATCCGCGCTCTCTGCTTTTATTTCATGTACCCCACTTTGAAACCTTTTTGTGCTACTTGATGGAACTTTATTGGATTATACCACTGGGCTTTTATCCATGGTATAGCAATGAGTTGCATCATTTCTTTTGGCAGTTT